AACAGCAGCGTGCGGCCGTGGCTGCTTCAGCGTGGCTCGCAATGAACTTTGTTTGTTTAGCCGCTTTTAGCCAGCCATGGTGCGGACAGAAGGACAAAAACGGCAGCAGCAGCAGCAGCTTTGCTTGTTTTCGGCGCTCCGCATGAAGAAAAGTGCTGAGTGAAGCCGGCGGTCGGCACGGCTCACACGGTGTCGGCAGAGACCCCGTGAGCGGCAGCGAGAGGCACGGCAAGCGATCTCCTTGATGCACAGCCCTGATTGAGATCAACTTCTCAGCGCCGCAGAACTCCGTAAAAACTGCTTCAGTTGATACAGCTCGAGAACAAACGAACCTACGAACACCAATTCTCTCCCGAATCAGGAAAAGGAAAGGGTGAAGACACGTAAGGAAAACAACATGGGACAAAGAGGTCAGAAGGAGTCAAATTCTAGTTAGGAGGGGATTGAGGAGATGCCTTGGTCTTCGGCTGAAATTCACTGTGTAAGGCTATGGTGAAGATATATGTTTGATATATCAGACTTCGGTTTTCCCCTGTAATTCATGAAGCACATGGTGGGATGCAGCATTTACCCGCAGCCCATGAGAAAAGGGCACTCGTGCTGGAGCGTGTGGATGCTGAAAAGCTGTAATCTAATGAGAAACTTGACCAGAGAGAGATGAGAAACTCTGCTCCAGAGACAGAAGAAGAGCTTCTGTTCCCAGAGATAAAAGAAGAGAACTTTTGGGGGTTTTTATGCCAGAACAGCTCATCCTTAAAATAGTACCCCATAAGTTGACATGGCCCATGAAAGCAGCTGTGGGAAAGCTGCCAGACATGGGAGGGACTTTCACACTGCAAACAGTTTTTCCTTTCCTGGGCAGCTGATTCGCTGTGACATTGAAGCCATGAGAGAACTGTTTCTTGTGGAGAAGTCTCCATGGCATGGCGATAGAAACTCCTCTCCCTACAAGAGCTGATGAAAGACTGTTGTAGAGGTGGTAACTGATTGAAAATCCCAGGTTTTGTCTCTATATTGTCAGTTGGCAAAGAAAAGAAGTTGTGGAGAGGGGCGGAGAAGTGTTCTGACGGTTTTATTCTGATCGTTATTATTCTTTTAGTTCTGTTAATAAAGTTTTCTTTATACCTTTTAAGTTTTGAGCCTGCTTTGCCCTCCTCCTAATTCATATCTTAAAGCAGGAAACGAGTAAATAATTCTGGTAGGTGCACTGGAGATTTTAGCCAGCGCTAAACCCACTACAGTCACTACAGTGACTACAGTCACCCACTAGATGACAGCAAATTGGGCGGTCAGTGGTGAGCTTGGTATTGCCCAGTTAAGACATGATTATCTTAGAAGATACTTTCCAACTTAAATGATTGTTTGAAAAAAAAATAATAAAAAATTTCTAAGTAGTACAAAATTTACTATATGAATGGTCCCTATGGTGCTCTCTTGTTGGTCTGCAGCCTATGGTGTGAACTTATTACTAGGAAGACACATGGAGCTCTGGAGCAGTCTGAGGCTTCCTGCAGACACATCCCCACCGCAGAAGGGCCTAGGCTGCAGCCCCTGGCCTTGAGCTTGACACTTGGCACTGCTTGGGACTGACATCAGAGATGATGACATCTGCTCAAGTCAGTGAGGGCTTTTCATTTGATGTCAGCAAACCTGGCCCAGGCATTTGCCTCTTGATTCACCAGTGATAAGGGATTTCATCCTAGCAGTATAAACTGTGAATTTGGAACTCTTTAAATTCTACTTAAGTCACTAGAAAACTATTACTATAGGAAAACAACAGTAACTGCTACCTGACAATGTATTTCCATTTCTGTATTTTAGGCATCTCAGGATCACAATGTCATTTTACAGGACCATTTGGGCAAATTTGCAAATCTGATGGTGTCATAAGTAACCATGCTTGCATAACATTCCACAAGTATAGGATTTTGACCCTTTGGCTTCAGGAGACAGTGCAAGTCTTGCCAGTGCTAAAAAATACTGACTTGTATGACTAAGGGGTCAACTTTCACCAGAAGTTAACTCTTTCCTGGAATGACCCTGGGGGATGGATGAGGTAGGCTGAAGGAGAATATTTAGGCAGTTTAAAAATAAGAAAGAATGATTGGCCTATGATTAACATTTCTCAGACTGGACAGATGATCTTAAGCTGAATTATAGCATTACCTTCCTCTCTATTGCAGACGTTTAAACATTTGAGCCTGTTGCATATATAAAGTAAAACGAAAGATGAATCAACACAAACTTTCATTTTTTTTTCTGGTAAAAATGTTGAGAAAATGAATTTCACCAGCTTTCTTTCACAGCACTATCCATAAATATTTATAAAGTGGGAAGGATAGAGAATGACATGAGCCAGTTTTCTGAAAATGATTCTTCATTAACATCCCAAGTATGTGCAGAAACTTTCAGTATTGATTTATAGTTACATGCTGAGGGCTTTCCCTTTTACAAATGGGAGTCACTGGATTACTGTCAACTTCCAACCCTTTACTCTCTGACTGGAACAAACACTTACAGACTAAATTTTCTCACATGGGCTTGTATAAATGGATTGTAAAGTGCAAACAAACTCCATAGTTGTGTTGGTGCTCTGATGTGGTCCTTTTACACACACTTACAAATAGCTCATCAATTCAGAAAATGGGTGCAAGGCAAGGGGAGGCTGTTCCACAGTTAGCTTGGTACAATGGAGGACAGAGATTTAGGACAGGAGCTGTTCCTGGGTGATGCTCCATGTGGTCTCTAATTCAAAGGTTAGTAAGTCATATTTTGGTTTAGTTTAATCCATTTCACAAAGTTAACCAGCAAAATTGAAATACATTCCTGTTTGAGAGTGTTTCCTCTAATGAGAGGAAGGTTTAAGCTAATGGATTCTGCAGCACACCAAAATTCTTTTCATGCAAATATAGTAAGTCAACACACAAACAGAGCCAACCAATGAAATAACTTTGTCAGTTTAAATTATCTAAGCACATATTATTAGATGTATTTACCTGTTCATTGTCATCTTCATCACTGCTGAGTTTTAGATCATCCTCAAGCATTCTGGAAAAAAAAGAGAAACAATACAGAATTACATTTAATGAATTAACTTTATGCACAATGGGCCAAATCTACACCTCAGCAAAGTCAAAGGAAAAACTGTCTTTCAATTCAACAACAGCAAAATTAGACCTGAGGTAAGTAAACCAATGAATAATCTATGTATGTATGCATGTATTAGTGCTTGGTGATTCTAGGGAGGAACAAATTACTTTCAGACTTTTCCATCATGAAGTTTGGCAGTCAGCTGCTCTTTCATGTCCTCTCTTATTTCCACATTGTCTCACAGGGATTAGTCCATATACACCTACATGTGTTTCTAAATCAGAAGAGAAATTCAGCTCTGAAACTGATAAAAACTGAGAAAAAGTCATCCAGGTTTCATTCTCAGTCTGGGGCACCACCAATTTCCTTTCTGGTACCAATCCCCACCCTATCGAAATAAGAATGCAAAGTGGCTAACAGCAAAAAGAGAAGGTGCTTGTTTGAGGTTTGATGAGACCTCACAGTTGTTAGTGTCCAAAGGCAGAGCAAATATTTTCCAAGCTGGGAACCTGCCAGTTAATACCCCTATATTTATTTATTTGTTTATTAATACAGGGAAATCTCACAGGCCTGAGCCTTGCCCTTGGTTAAAGGGGAAGGAAGCTCCTAAAAGATGTGGTTGTCCCTATGCCTCCTTCCTTTCCTTTGGTAAAAGGAAGAGTTGAATTGTAAATTACTGTATTAACACTCATATGACTTCTTTTAATCCAAGACATAGATACAAGAAAATACATGGGGTAAGAAACCATGTTATTTGCTGCTAGAGACAGAAAAGGTCTCTTACTTAGGGATCTGTCTACCTAGAGGGACGAGCAGCCACCAAGTAAACTCCTGTATAGCTTCCCATATATCCATGCTTTTATCTGAGCTGATAATCATCTGGGCACACTTCTACCTCACACCCATCTTTTCACCTTGACAAATTGTCTTGTCACAGGATGACGTACGAATGAATCAGTACATCTCTTTGTGACCTGCTGCAGCAGCCACTAAAATTGCGGATCTTCCTTTCTGCCAGCCCAAACTCCTTTACCCACGGCAGGAGGCTTGCAAATTGCAATTATTGTTTCCTTTCTGCCTTGATGGGGACTGAAGTCTATGATTTTTTATTGTTAGCCTTTAAATAACTAGCAATCAATGGATGTTCTGTTAGGAAGGTTTTTTTTTGTTTGAAGACTACCAGTAAATCATGGAAGCCTCCTGACACATGGAATTTTAAGAGGGGACAATAATCCCAATGTGGAAATTTTTGAACACTTGAAGTCCTGATGTTGCCCTTAAAAAATGAAGGAGATCTTTAAACAGGTTTGTGAGTCATTTGTCTTTCAGTGACCTCTGGTCGGGCAAAAGTATCTGGATCTTGTGGCTACAAAGTATCTGGACACATAACTACCAGACATTAGCATCCTGATAAATGGCTGATACCTCCCTGTAATATGTGAACCCATAAAAGTACAACTGCAGCATGGATTAAAAAAAAAAAAAAAAAAATCTTCTGAAAGTTAGTATTTGTGGAGGGTTGACCTTGTGTGGATGCCAGGTGCCCACTAAAGCTGCCCTATCTCTCTTCATCTGGACAGGAAAGAGAAAATGTAACAGAAGGCTTGTGGGTGGAAAAAAGGACAGGGAGAGATCACTCAGCAGTTACTGTCATGGGCAAAACAGACTCAGTTTGAGGAAATCAATTACAAGTATTGCCAATGAAATCAGAGTAGAACAATGAGAAATAAAACCAAATGATAAAACACCTTCTCCCCCACCCTTCTCTTCCTCTTGGGCTGGACTTCACTGACAATTCTCTCTGTCTCCCCCCTCAGAGTGGTGCAAGCGGATGGGGAGCGGGGGTTATGGTCAGTTCATTGCACATTGTCTCTGCAGGTTCCTCCTCAGGGGAAGGACTCCTCCCATGCTTCCCCTTTTCCAGCGTGGGGTCCCTCCCACAGGAGCCAGCCCCTCATGAACTTCTTCAACTTGAATCCTTCCCACAGGTTGCAGTTCTTTAGGAACCATTCCAGAGTGGGCCCCTTCTGTGGGTACATCCTCCAGGCACAGGCTGCTCCAGTGTGAGTCCCCCAAGGAGTCACAAGTCCTGGCAACAAACCTGCTCCAGTGTGGACTCCTCTCTCTCTACAGGGACACAGGTCCTACCAGCACAGTCTTCCTATGGGGTCACAGCCTCCTTTGGGCATCTCCCTGCTCTGGTGTGGGCTCCTCCCTGGGCTGCAGCTGGATCCCTGCTCCCCATGGACCCCCAGGTGCTGCAGGGACACACCTGCCTCTCCAAGGGCAGCACCAGGGGCTGCAGGGGAACCTCTGCTCTGGCACCTGGAGCATCTCCTGCCCCTCCTCCTGCAATGACCTGAGTGTCTGCATGGCTGTTTCTCTCACATACTCCAGCTCCTCTCTTCCAGCTGCTGTTGCACAGCAGTTTTTTCCCTTTCTAAAAACTGTTATGGCACAGGCACTGCCACTGTCACTGCTGGGCTCAGCCTTGACTGGTGGCAGGTCCATCCTGGAGGCTGGCATTGGCTCTGCTGGAAATGGGGAAAGCTTCCAGCAGCTTCTCAAAGAAGCCACCCCGGCAGCCTCCCAGGTACCAAAATCTTGCCATTGAAACCCAATATTCAATTTTTCAGGAATTATTAATATTTAGAGGCCTGGACTTTGGCGATGAACAGAAACTTCTAATGCTCTTTATCTAGCAGACACATTCATTTGTTTCCCTAGAGCCATTACTTGCTGTGCCATTCTCAATGTATCGCTGCACCTTGATCTATCCACAGTCCCTGATTGTTATCTGCAAGTCTCATTACACCAGAAGGACAATACCCCCAGGAAACCAAGACCATTTTCATACAGGACTATATCATTCTGACTCTTAACTCTAATTCAATCCTACACTCCTACTTTTTAAACCTACATTTCACTTTAATGTGTAAATTGTCCACTGCTTTAAAGAATCACTGCTAGATAATGCATTCTATTGTTATTTTTTAATGCAGATTTAAGTGGATGGATATAATGCAAAGATCTTTTCATAATTTCAAGAATGAAATCCAAAGGGTGGTCTGTTTTCTTTCTTTCAGCTATTGGGCGATTTGGTTTTTTTTGTGGTTTTTTTTGGGGGGGGTGTTGTTTTGGGGGTTTTTTTGTGGGGTTTTCTTGTGGGTTTTTTTGTTATTTGTATAAATAAACCAAAAAGGACAAAAGAAATTCCATATTGGATAAATGGAAAGAACAAAGAAGAAAACATAAAAAAGATAAATGGATACACTTATTAAACTAACCCTACAGCCATCTGAAATGGCTGATTAATAACTGTCCTCACACAGCCTATACTGCAGATGCTTTCTAACAAGTACAGTAAGGACATGTTTATTAATATTGAAAAATATAAAATTGATATAAAACATGATTAGTAGGAAGGACAACTGTTAGAGTTGTTTCAGAGAAACTAAATTTGCAGGATTTATGAGTTTCCTTCAAGAGACTAATAGATGTTTAGAAAACTAGAGAGAGGAAAAAAATTGGATTTTGGCATTTCTTTAGCAGTTCCAAGCTTATCACTTGGAGTATATAATTCTTCTTTTACCATTCTTCTAAATGAAGACTATGTCATTCCATTCAGTTTCAAAACTCAAAGCTTAAACAACTAAACCAACCAGCTTCTAAAATGTATCACACTCTTCTGGCAGATGGGATAATTAAAGAGAAATTGATTATGGTATCAACCAAAAATACATGGTAGCCAGAAAAGTAAGGAATAAATTAAATATACACAGTACATGCAAATGTAAAATGCTGAGCATTTCAAATAACCTGCTCCCAGAGAATATTGGTTAGAAAATGTTATATTCTACAGAACACAGAAGACTAGATTTTAAAATTTTAAAATGTGTTTAATATTCTGAAGACAAGGATCACAGTAGCTTGTACTGTTTAATGTTTCTATTAACTTTAATTTATAAGCAAGTACCATCTCATTGCACTCAAAGCCCAAAAAGGACTTTTAAAAGATTGCCAGCAACCTTAATTCAAGGTGACTATCTCACTGTCATACCTAGAAAGGTATTTTAGCTTCAAAGCCCTGAGATAGAAGAGCTCTGTATCTACAGCTCTCCAAAACACTGTCTGGATGTCTGAATGTGAAATTAGGCTCTCTTGAGTGAGAGGTCCCTCTAAATACCCATATAATCTATTCTGCTCTATACAGTTGTTCACCTCAGAAGCACCCAGACTGGAGATTACAGAGTTTATTTGTTATTAAGATCAGGACAGCTATTAATAAAGGCCAATTTGGAGGCTATGTTAAAATTACAATGAATACTGCCAATGAGGGCAAATCAAAGAGAAAACTGCCTGTATCAGAAAGCTGCCTCCAGGGGTGTTATGAATTCATTTTATTTCCTATTCTTCTCTGACCCAGCTGACATTATTATTGAATATACATGTACTTGTTTGTCTTTTCATCCATAGCTAATGCAAAACACCACTTTAGGGAAAGAATAGGATTAAGTAGGTTTTTTTATTTTATTATTAGAGCAATGCCATTCCCTGTAACAGTTGAAGTTGTGTCAACACATTTATTATAATCTACAATTTTCAGAGGTTTATAATTTGGAATGTGAAATACTGCAAAGCAGAAATGTTGGGACAAAGCAATACATTTATCTGTGGTGTAAGTAGGGGCAATCTCATTGACTGACTACAATACTCACTTCCTCCAGGGATGAATTTGCTCCCAAAACAGACTGTTCCTACATTACAAATTTATCTAGGCAAATGGCTGAACAAGAGCTTTATTAGGATGGGTTCTGTGAAAGTCACACTAGAAATAGTAAGAACACGAACACTGAAATGGGACTTTGAGTCCATCCTGACTTTTGAATTCAGTGGATGTTTTGTACACACCAGACCTGTTGATTTGGGATCCTGTCAACAAGGAGGTAAGGATTTGA